AAATTTTATTTGTTAAATAAATGTTAAAAATCCTAATCGGATGAAAAATTTCGTTAAAAAGAATAAAGTTTTAAAATTTAAAAATAGTAATACTAGCCTAATTCCTCATTTTGATTTTATTATGTTTAAATTCCTACACAATTTAAAATTGTAGAAAACATAATTTGATAAAAATAGAATGGATATAAAGTATTAAAGATTACGAATTACTTAAGATGAGATATATAAATCGTAATTATTATTCTTAAAACACGAAACTAAGAAAATCATTGTCAAAAATCCAGAATACGGATGAAATAAAGTTATAGCTTTTCCATATTAAAGGATTTTATAAGAAAAGTAAGGATTAAAATCATAATTTTAATTACAAATGTATGGAAATAATTTTAAACATTAAATTTCCTTTAATCTCGTAATTGTTTTACAAGTATTGTAACGCCTGACAGAAAATAATAGTAGATATCGTCTATTGTTGAAATATTTCTTACATTATACTCTAAACAAATTTCAAAGTATTTTTTCCCCCTAGTGTTTGTTATGAATTGTAAGTATATTAAATATTACATACTGCTGAGGTCATTGAAGCATTTAAATTTTCTATTTTATATTGTATAGATTTCGAAATACTATATTTTATGTAAAATAATTAAATTTTAGGTTTATTAATGTAATTATAGTATAGTTTAACTGTATCTGACATGTTAAGTTATATTGTTCATTAAAAGTTAATTTAAGCCTACTATGCATAAAAAAATTTCAGGAGATACGCGAGAAAGTCTGCAATCAGTCGGTATTAGTGAAAGTAGTGACTTCATAATTTTAAAGTAACAATAAATGGTATGATTTGATAATCTTTTCTAATCTTATATTTAGCTATGTACAGTAGGCTATGTTGCTAATTTTATTTTAAATCTAAAGCTTAAAATTTTCTCATGATTTCTGCTGTACAGGGCGCGTACTATTTTTCGTTACAGATAAAGAAAGACACACAAATATATATAACATACGCAATTAAAAAGTTTGTCGACTGTTATAGAAGACGATGGTTTTAAGGTAAAACCTCTTGTCAAACCAGCCTTGACACAGATTCGTACGAAAAACAAATTTGAGATGTGTAAAAGCTAGTCATTTGTGCCAGATAGTTACTGCGAAGATGTATATTTAGCAACGAAAAAAAGTTTTTTTTTTTCACTTTACAACAGTGATGGAAGACGTGGGTGTGGAGTAAAGTTTACGCCTAAATCTCAAATACCTCAAAGTGACAAAGACTAGGAATTGAAGAATTTATGTATGAAGCTGTAGGCTTATGGTAAAAGCTACACGCACGCAATGTCTTCCTTCTTAGAGATTTTGAAATGACCACTCTATTACTGCTCCAAATTCTATTTATTCTATTTTACATACAATCAGGTAATGCCTCAACGCGTGTAATATTTTCCCAAATAAAACAAGAAATATATTATAGAAATAAAACTTGAAAGATACAATGTGTAAATAAAAATATTCGCAATTATAAAATTAATAAATATTGTTAAATTCTAAATTATTTTGCACAAACTTTTATTATTCCTATAGGTTGTCAGTGATATCATAAGGCTAACGTAAAACACAGAAATATTGTACTAATGCAATGTGCCACTCATGAGACCACTAAATTAGACTTGTCTCAGTAAGAAAAAAACTTATTTACGCCATTAATTACGCCGTAAGTCGCTTTCTGTCTGTCATCTAAGCTTATTTTGTTATATATATATATATATAACAGAATTATTATTATATAAGATCTGTAGAATTCCTACTTTCTCAATATAAACTGAATCGATACTATTATAGTAAATAGATTTGATTAAAAAGTAGCCATATTTCTAAGATTTGAGAAAATGAAAATTATTGCAAATTAAATTACATTATTTGGAAATCAGTCCAGTAAATGTTGATCTATACATCAGTTTGTTTATTGAAAAGTAAAGGTTAATGTTGTTTAGATTATCTAACGCCTAAGAGGTGAAAGTTGCTCGGCGCTAAATCGGGGCTATACGCTGGGCGTTTAAAGGTGGTGAAGACTTCCACCTTTCAGACTTCCACCCAGCTTGGAACTTTTTAATGTGTGAAGACTTCGGCCTCTTTCCTGAACTGAAAACGTGGCTAACAGGGCAGAGGTTCGAGACTAATGATAATTTTCAAAACAATATTGTTAAGGCCATCTCAATTCACTGGCGGCAACATTCTATGACAAGGGGATGGAAAAGCTCGTTCAGTTATGACAAATACCTCAATCTTTACGGTGATTATGTCGAAAAGTAACCACGTTTGTACCTTACTTTTGGTAATAGATTCATTTTGTTATTTACACTTGTCTTTTTTATGGACCATCGGAGATTGAAAAAACCGCCCTTGTTTATACTGTACATATTTATTTTTCTTTTATTAGTCTTTTCTCACTTTTTTTAGTTTTTCTCTCCAGGCATAGACAATCGAATTTAGATAAAAATACAAATTGTCTTTATTTATTTACAGATTTTTAAAACTTAAATAAATTAAAAATATGATTAAAATTGCAGCTCGGCATTGTGACGATGTCACAATAAATAATCGTTCGTATTGATATATATTTTCAATAATTCTGCCTATTTTTAGGTCAGCATTTCAGTTTTTAAATATAAATCTTCGGGTAGGATTTGTCCCAATTATTCTTTCTCTTTTGTATTTCTTATATAAATTTCACAATGATCTTAATCAGAAAATAGTAGGCCGTGAAAGTACAGCATATTAAATTAATGTATAAAGCATATTAATGTATAAAGAAAAATTCGATACCATAATAATATCAGAATTAAAGCATAGAATTGCCGAGTGTATTATCAAAACATATGTGATAATTGCAAAACTTTCCCACATACAAATACAATAGATGTTCTGATATGATTATGACTTTGATGCAATGAATCGTTAGAACCAAGAAATAAATATTAAGTAATGTTTTCTGAGATTAATTGAGGTTAAATGGAATATATCAAAAACAAAATAGAAGAAAAAGAGCTCCGACTAGACACAAGACAATTCGATCTATTTTAAATGGAATGCACCTCGACAAGAATGAATGATGATCTATAATAGAATGATGAATACTCTCTAAAATCAATAATTTTCCTTTACATGAATACAAACAATTTCTGATATTAAACATGTATTCATTTGATAAATAGTTATTAGAATTACGACAAACAGAAGATGTTAATTCACAGTAATATTTTAAATTTGCTAAGAACATCGAAAAACATTTATAATAATCCGAATCTCAATATCATATTAAAAAAATGAACTGTTTTGAGAAAAGGATAATTTGATATCTGATGAATGTAAAAAGTAATTAAGTTTAATTTTCTATACAGATTCTTCCTCGTTAATATTGCTGAAAGTTTTAACCGTGATACATCACTTTGATGCTGAACAGTGTGATTAGTCATGGCACACCCATCTTCTTACTAATCGGAGCAAAGCGTAACGATGTCAATACGGTATTTGATTGACCGAGGCGAAAGTTTAAATATTCTTCATTTAAATATATCTGAATAAGATATAATTCAAAGAATAATATTTATATATTTATCTAAAGAAACATGCTCATTCTATTTATCAATTATTTACTCTTTGAATTAATACCTATAAATGTTGATAGAGCAGTCTAATATAATTTTACTAAACACGTAATTGTATATAAAGCAACGACTTTGTAGTTTCAACTAATTAATTAATTATGAATTTACAACATCAATGAAAACATATCTAGCAAATAATTTGATATTTTAAATAGATGATTTTAAAACACTTTCTATTTTCCAAAAATTATATTTATATATTATATTATAGTATTCTGTGTATAGTATAGTGCATCTTATATATACTATTCAGAGTACTATATAGCCTATATATAATATATCAATAATACTACAAAATATAATTTTTTGAAAATAGAAACATTAAAATCTATATCTTAATAAATTATAAATTTTTTAAGATATGGATTTTATAGATGTAATTACTGTTTAGACAAAACAGACGCATCTTATGTTTATGTATAGGGTATAGTGTACTGTAGACTATACATAAACATAGGATGCATCTATTTTGTCGTTATTCTTCTCGTTTTCTTATGTAATAATGTATGATATGACGCGAATTTGACGTAAAAGAACTATTGACAGAAAACTAATGCACCTAGTGTCTTTCATATAATACATGCTGTTCTATCTATAATACTGTATAGGATGTCCCAAAAGTAAAATGTAACTTTATTGCAGGCATTAAGATTTGTGTCACTGGATTGACGGAATAAGGCAACGGAACACGTGAGTGATTTGCCAACGGGGTACCTCCTAGTAGGACTTCCTATCTTGGCCTCTTTGTGCTCTCTGAGCGGTAAGGGGCCTAAAACCACAAATAAAAAAAAAAGTAGGACTTCCTATGTGGAAATTGGATTGTGTTTAGGTGTTAGACGCACGAAGACAACCCAGAACACTGCATGGTAGCCAGCCCATTGGTCAGGCACGAACCAATGATCAACTACCAGTGTTCAACGGTTTTATTTATTCGGCCACTAGTGGGCTTGATTTGTGTCAATGTATGAAGACTTGGGACACCCTGCATATAATAAAGTATTTTATGTGTAATATAATATATAAAAATAGTATTTTATGTATTATAGAACAATTGTACACCCACATCATAATAAATGTTGTTAAATATATTAAATTGCTCTAGTTTTTTTATATAAATATATCAATACTTACTTGTCATAAAGATTTCAAAATCATCATTATTATAAATGTTGTAAATCAAAAAAACAATGAATGTAGTGAAGAATATTTTTAATTTGTTACTTTATTCGGCCATTAAAATAGTAATAATCTTTATAAAAACCTTTAAACTCATTCAAGGATAAGTTAAATTAATTATTTTACTAAAAACAAAAGTAATTCAAGGATAAACACAATTCTTACATGTCTAATTGCTATCATTTCCTTCTTTTTCTTTATTCGAAAAGACTTTCTTCTTTAAGAAAAGGCAGACGATAAAAATGACGTCAAATTTCCAGCAGACGATAAAAGGCGGGAAAAAATTAATTATAATTAACCGACATAATCAATTTTCTAACAAATTTCAATTTATTATTTTTACACACAAATTTAAATTTATTAAAATTAAAAAATCTATTTAAATAACATTTGTTTGTTTATTTAAAAAAATTTTGTAATGTTTGATGACGTAATAAACATGACACATTATTTTTATACGTATCCGATGACTTCATAGTAAAATTTCTTGTTATTTATTAACCTATAAATAATAAAGTGAATATAACGTATTAATGTATAAAAAGTCTTTGAATACATTAATTAATTAATTCACGTATAAAAATTTTTATATAAAATTACAAATTTTTTAATTGATTAAATATGTATTTCTATCGTATCAATTTTAAAAAATTTATTTCTTTAGATATTTTAATAATAATTCAAGTAATTCAAATATATTCACATAGTCTATTTATTTATTTATTTAATTTTATTTTGGTATTGAAATATTTTATTACATTATATAGGAAATAAATAAATATGTTTTCATTTTTTTTCTGTGTTCTGGATTTCTGTAATATTAAATAATTTATATCAATAAGTAGATAAAATTAATATATTAGTACAGTATAAACAATATATACGTGTTTATGTATTCATATACAGTATAATAAATAGTTTAAATTATTTTTAATTTTTTTAAATTTATGAAATCAAATTTATTTCGTCGAAAATATTAACGTAATAATTGTAGTTATCGGAAAGTTTCCTACAATTAAAAAACAAAAGCTAATTTATAGCGAAAATAAAGAAATAAGCAAAAAAAAACGAAAAAACTACTTTGTCCCTCTGTCGGCAACTTTTCGTACCATATTAAAAAAATTGTATAACTTAAGTTTTAGTTAAAAAATACAAAATTTAAATAAATAATTTCATTTTAATAATTTTATATTTCATAAATAATATCGATATAATTTTAAATCGATGTAATAATTTTTTATTATTTATATAATTGCAAAAATATTTCGTTTTTATCCAAATATTTACCGAATTAAATCGTTTTTATTTCGTTTGTAATAAAATAATTAATAATTAAGACGTTTTTGTCGGTTATTAATCTAATTTTATTCTAGATAAACATTTTATAGTTTAACAGATCATTTCGTCAAATCAATGTCCTTTATTACAGCTTAAATCTTTTCGACGTATCGTTGCTGTTATGTCACGTGATTAGTGCAACAATTCAAGATGGCAGCTGTGTGACGGTTTGATCTGCGGCTTCTTTGCTGCATTGGACTTCATTTCGTGCCAAATCAACATAGGATAATAATTGTACAAGGTCAGAAATGGATAGTAAAGACTATGATCACACTAGAAATCTAACATTAATGTTCTTTTTAGATCGTTTAATCGATAAAGGGCAACCTAGGACATTACACGATTTATCCTGTCAGTTTGGTACTAAAGGATTTACCAAAGAAATGAGACAGATCGCCGGTGGTAGCCAGGCTGGTCTTAAAAAGTTCCTTTCCCAATATCCTTCCCTGTTTACTATAGATGGTGATCAAGTGACTGTAACCTGTTATACTTCATCCAGTAATGACCCGAGTGGGAAGAAGGGGAAGAGAGATTATGCCTTAGAAGCAGTCGAATATTTTACTAATAAGTTAGAACAATACGGTAATGCTGAAGTGCCAATAAAAAGTTTACTTGGTCATAGATCTCAAGCTACGCCCGAAATAAGACACATTTCGGGCCAGCATGTGAAGGAATTCAAAGATTTCTTACTCAGATTTCCGGATGTGTTTGTCGTAAAAGATGATTACGTTGTCCTGAAAAATGTACTCGATAACCTAGACGGCGAAGAAAAAGTTAACATTACTAAAGTACCTGAAGAAGAGCCGCTGGATCCACAGTTAACGAATGAACTCATGACATTTTTTGAGAATGTTATAAGAATGAGAGGACCTTTACCTGTTGGTCAGTTATTTGCTCATTTGAGTGCAAGGTATCCGAAGGAAATGTGGTCTATTATGGTAAAAAATTCTCAAGATCTAATTGCATTCTTGAAGATGAATTCTCAGATATTTCATGTACAGTCAAACGTCGTATCTTTAACTCCGGAACGACAACAGGCGCTGATGGTGTCTTCGAATAATGCGACTAGTGTAATGTCGACTGCTCCTACGACTGCTTCCTCTTCGGCTCAATCTTCCCCTTCTAGTGGCAGCGGTCGTTACTCCGATAAATCGCAGACATTTCAGCAGAGGTTAAAAACCCAAATTATGAAAGCTGTAGCTGATAATTCTGCTTTAGATTATAAAGAAAGAATGTCTTTTGGGCCGACTAGCCATTGCTTTAGAGAAACTTCCAATGACAATTTATTTACAAAAGTAATGAAAACTGTTAAAATTATTACAAAAGTTAAAGAATGTAGCACTGTTGTAAAACAGCTGATGTCTTCGCCCGAATATTCCGTGATTTCTCTAGACGGCGAAGGAGTAAATTTAGGTCCGTCGGGACCCATTACTCTCTTACAAATTGCCACTGAAAATGAAGATATTTTTTTATTTGATCTCCTTTCTTGCCCACAGATGATGGTGGAAGGTAATTTGCGAGATGTTTTAGAATCCAAAACAATTACAAAGGTAAATTCAATTATTTATCTGTGTAAATAAGCAATAAATTACTAGAATAATAAAGACTTTCATTATAAGTGAGAGAAATATGTAAAATATTTATAGTGAATAATAATGGGTGTATGCAATATGTGAAAAGAATATTTATATCATTTTTTTAGGATAAATAAATTTATAATATTAAGAGTTAAATATAGTATAGGCTCTATGTATAATTTAAGTATTTGTATTTTGCTTGATTACAAATATGTTCAGCTTCAACATTGGATATATAATACAGGATCTATATATTACAGGATCCTTCTGGCAAGATCTTATGATTCCATTCAGTTTCTTACAATTTCAAGAAACTGAATTTTTAAAAAGAATTAAAGAATTGTTTGGAATGAAAATAAAATTTATACAAATATCATTTTTATATGAAATTAAATTGTTTTACAGATAACAACAGTTTTCAATTACATTACTGTTTGTTCAATCATCACATTTGATTTGTTGGTGCTAAGGTATTTTACTACAGTTTTGTCTTTTTCCATTTTATATTATGTATTTCCATAACATGCTTTGTTTCATGTTAAATATAGGCTATTTATTATTATTTATTTTATAAAGAATAAAGTATATTTAATTAAAAATGTAATAGTATAATTATCAAATTTTTAAATTATTAATATGAGGTATAGAATTCTTTAAGATAAGTTTTTTTGATATTTTTGAGTAATGAATTTTTGTGAATGCTTATCTAGTATATTGGAGCATTTGCTCATCTTGCATAAATCTTAGCTAGGTGGTCAACAAGAGCAACTTGCATTGTATTTACTAGATATATTGTTTTTAATTTTGAACAATTAAAAATTAATTGCAATAAATTCAGAAATAAAGTTAAAATACTAATATTGAAAATTATTTGAATTTTTCATAATTATTTTGAAATTATCAATATATTCTTTTATTTTTTTTCAGTCGTGTACAGTGAACTGCATTTTCTCTAAGATTTGTAGAGTTGCAATAGTTTTTCCATTTTAATAATTGCATGTCATTTGTATTAATTCTTACTAATAATGATAATTATATAAATCTATTACAAAATTTATTGGTTTTATTTGTTTTTCATTTTGCTTTACACATGTTTGTACTTTAATTAAGTGCAGTTAACAGAATTATATGAAAAANCCAAATATTTACCGAATTAAATCGTTTTTATTTCGTTTGTAATAAAATAATTAATAATTAAGACGTTTTTGTCGGTTATTAATCTAATTTTATTCTAGATAAACATTTTATAGTTTAACAGATCATTTCGTCAAATCAATGTCCTTTATTACAGCTTAAATCTTTTCGACGTATCGTTGCTGTTATGTCACGTGATTAGTGCAACAATTCAAGATGGCAGCTGTGTGACGGTTTGATCTGCGGCTTCTTTGCTGCATTGGACTTCATTTCGTGCCAAATCAACATAGGATAATAATTGTACAAGGTCAGAAATGGATAGTAAAGACTATGATCACACTAGAAATCTAACATTAATGTTCTTTTTAGATCGTTTAATCGATAAAGGGCAACCTAGGACATTACACGATTTATCCTGTCAGTTTGGTACTAAAGGATTTACCAAAGAAATGAGACAGATCGCCGGTGGTAGCCAGGCTGGTCTTAAAAAGTTCCTTTCCCAATATCCTTCCCTGTTTACTATAGATGGTGATCAAGTGACTGTAACCTGTTATACTTCATCCAGTAATGACCCGAGTGGGAAGAAGGGGAAGAGAGATTATGCCTTAGAAGCAGTCGAATATTTTACTAATAAGTTAGAACAATACGGTAATGCTGAAGTGCCAATAAAAAGTTTACTTGGTCATAGATCTCAAGCTACGCCCGAAATAAGACACATTTCGGGCCAGCATGTGAAGGAATTCAAAGATTTCTTACTCAGATTTCCGGATGTGTTTGTCGTAAAAGATGATTACGTTGTCCTGAAAAATGTACTCGATAACCTAGACGGCGAAGAAAAAGTTAACATTACTAAAGTACCTGAAGAAGAGCCGCTGGATCCACAGTTAACGAATGAACTCATGACATTTTTTGAGAATGTTATAAGAATGAGAGGACCTTTACCTGTTGGTCAGTTATTTGCTCATTTGAGTGCAAGGTATCCGAAGGAAATGTGGTCTATTATGGTAAAAAATTCTCAAGATCTAATTGCATTCTTGAAGATGAATTCTCAGATATTTCATGTACAGTCAAACGTCGTATCTTTAACTCCGGAACGACAACAGGCGCTGATGGTGTCTTCGAATAATGCGACTAGTGTAATGTCGACTGCTCCTACGACTGCTTCCTCTTCGGCTCAATCTTCCCCTTCTAGTGGCAGCGGTCGTTACTCCGATAAATCGCAGACATTTCAGCAGAGGTTAAAAACCCAAATTATGAAAGCTGTAGCTGATAATTCTGCTTTAGATTATAAAGAAAGAATGTCTTTTGGGCCGACTAGCCATTGCTTTAGAGAAACTTCCAATGACAATTTATTTACAAAAGTAATGAAAACTGTTAAAATTATTACAAAAGTTAAAGAATGTAGCACTGTTGTAAAACAGCTGATGTCTTCGCCCGAATATTCCGTGATTTCTCTAGACGGCGAAGGAGTAAATTTAGGTCCGTCGGGACCCATTACTCTCTTACAAATTGCCACTGAAAATGAAGATATTTTTTTATTTGATCTCCTTTCTTGCCCACAGATGATGGTGGAAGGTAATTTGCGAGATGTTTTAGAATCCAAAACAATTACAAAGGTAAATTCAATTATTTATCTGTGTAAATAAGCAATAAATTACTAGAATAATAAAGACTTTCATTATAAGTGAGAGAAATATGTAAAATATTTATAGTGAATGTGTACTGTAGACTATACATAAACATAGGATGCATCTATTTTGTCGTTATTCTTCTCGTTTTCTTATGTAATAATGTATGATATGACGCGAATTTGACGTAAAAGAACTATTGACAGAAAACTAATGCACCTAGTGTCTTTCATATAATACATGCTGTTCTATCTATAATACTGTATAGGATGTCCCAAAAGTAAAATGTAACTTTATTGCAGGCATTAAGATTTGTGTCACTGGATTGACGGAATAAGGCAACGGAACACGTGAGTGATTTGCCAACGGGGTACCTCCTAGTAGGACTTCCTATCTTGGCCTCTTTGTGCTCTCTGAGCGGTAAGGGGCCTAAAACCACAAATAAAAAAAAAAGTAGGACTTCCTATGTGGAAATTGGATTGTGTTTAGGTGTTAGACGCACGAAGACAACCCAGAACACTGCATGGTAGCCAGCCCATTGGTCAGGCACGAACCAATGATCAACTACCAGTGTTCAACGGTTTTATTTATTCGGCCACTAGTGGGCTTGATTTGTGTCAATGTATGAAGACTTGGGACACCCTGCATATAATAAAGTATTTTATGTGTAATATAATATATAAAAATAGTATTTTATGTATTATAGAACAATTGTACACCCACATCATAATAAATGTTGTTAAATATATTAAATTGCTCTAGTTTTTTTATATAAATATATCAATACTTACTTGTCATAAAGATTTCAAAATCATCATTATTATAAATGTTGTAAATCAAAAAAACAATGAATGTAGTGAAGAATATTTTTAATTTGTTACTTTATTCGGCCATTAAAATAGTAATAATCTTTATAAAAACCTTTAAACTCATTCAAGGATAAGTTAAATTAATTATTTTACTAAAAACAAAAGTAATTCAAGGATAAACACAATTCTTACATGTCTAATTGCTATCATTTCCTTCTTTTTCTTTATTCGAAAAGACTTTCTTCTTTAAGAAAAGGCAGACGATAAAAATGACGTCAAATTTCCAGCAGACGATAAAAGGCGGGAAAAAATTAATTATAATTAACCGACATAATCAATTTTCTAACAAATTTCAATTTATTATTTTTACACACAAATTTAAATTTATTAAAATTAAAAAATCTATTTAAATAACATTTGTTTGTTTATTTAAAAAAATTTTGTAATGTTTGATGACGTAATAAACATGACACATTATTTTTATACGTATCCGATGACTTCATAGTAAAATTTCTTGTTATTTATTAACCTATAAATAATAAAGTGAATATAACGTATTAATGTATAAAAAGTCTTTGAATACATTAATTAATTAATTCACGTATAAAAATTTTTATATAAAATTACAAATTTTTTAATTGATTAAATATGTATTTCTATCGTATCAATTTTAAAAAATTTATTTCTTTAGATATTTTAATAATAATTCAAGTAATTCAAATATATTCACATAGTCTATTTATTTATTTATTTAATTTTATTTTGGTATTGAAATATTTTATTACATTATATAGGAAATAAATAAATATGTTTTCATTTTTTTTCTGTGTTCTGGATTTCTGTAATATTAAATAATTTATATCAATAAGTAGATAAAATTAATATATTAGTACAGTATAAACAATATATACGTGTTTATGTATTCATATACAGTATAATAAATAGTTTAAATTATTTTTAATTTTTTTAAATTTATGAAATCAAATTTATTTCGTCGAAAATATTAACGTAATAATTGTAGTTATCGGAAAGTTTCCTACAATTAAAAAACAAAAGCTAATTTATAGCGAAAATAAAGAAATAAGCAAAAAAAAACGGAAAAAACNATTAATTTGCATTTTATTACTTTATAGGATTTTTTTATTATTTAAATCAGGGATTTCCAAAGTGGTTAATAGGTTAAATAATGCATTTCGGAGGTTGAAATTAATTGAAGGTTGATTGGGGATTGATTTAAAACAGTTTGTTAAAAATTATTAGTTCAGTGACAGTTCGGGATACTGTAAATTTGCACACTGTAAGTAGATCTTTTCTATAAAGAGGTGTTGGCTCAATAATAATTTAATTCATTATTATTATTATTATAATTATTGACTGTATTAAAGCAAAAAGAAAAGAGGGAATTGATAATAGTTTGAAAAATCCTTGAAGAAATCCAAACAGTCAAAAAGGTTTAGGGATTTTTATGTGAAACTTTCATTGCAATTTTAATTATCAAAATAATGTAAACAGTTATTTGATGGTATATAAATTAAAATATAATTTGTTTATTGTTAAATATTTTATATATTATCAGTCAGTTTTGAATTTTAGCAAATGTTAAATAGTGATTACTTATTAAAATATATTTATACTTCCAGCTTAATAAATAGATAAGAAAAATTATAAATGAGCATTGCTAAATATACCATAATGTTAATTTATTATTTAGTTTAAGTTGATATTAATTTTTTAAGAATTTTTAAATAGAACTTCAACCAAATGATCATTTTAAACAATTGGGCTATAAATCTGCTATCTATTTAAGGCAATCAGATACAGAGATAATCAACCAAATGATTGTTTGGTTGATTATCTCTGTATCGGGCTTTGGGATGTTTAGTATACTAATAAAACTTCAATTAATAATTTAAAGTAGCATTTAATAAATGAATATTACAATTTAAGCATGAAAAATAATGAAACAAATAAAAATATTTAATAGCACATAAAAATTATTATTAATTAGACATATACAAATTAATTGATATTTTTTAATTGTGTTTTCTTTGTGTTCATGTAAAGATATACAGTGGGTGATTGGTTAACGAACATAATCTGTTCCAAGACTGTTTGTTAACCGATTATTGATTTACCATAGGTTTTTATGGGAATTTGATTAATTGTTTCTGGAGACTCCAAAAAATAAAAAATATATATACTTTCTTATTTTGTTTATTTACATGTAATAGTAAAAGTACATATATACATAGTCTTGCATATGTTATTAGTCATGTTTTTTCCATCTTTAAGAATCTGTCCAATGTCGATTGCTTTTCTCTCTTCTTCAGGATTTTTCGGAAGTAATTAATAGCATTGTAATTGTAGAGATCCCCAAGCCTATTAACCTCATTTTGGTTTGGATACAATCTCATTACACACCAGTAAATATAAATAAAATACTCCTCAAACCTTTTAACGTTTATGATTCTAAAAATAGAAGCACTCTGGTTAAAAAGTTTGAGGAGTATTTTATTTGGTTTGGATGACTGTTGTTCTGACATTCTCCCACTTCTTCAAAAGATCTTTAATTGCAGATATCACCATTAATCCTCTTTTTTGGAAGAACTCTTGAATGAAGAACACCAAGAAACTTGGTGTTCTTCATTCAAGAGTTCTTGGCGTTCTTCTGTCGTCAGTTCAGTTTCAGGTTCCATTATGAGCTCTTCAATGCTCTTTATTTCTCAGATGAGATTTTCCTTAATCTTTTAGCTGCTTAAGACTTCTTGATATAGCTTTCATAGTTAATTTTGTAACTACTGTAGACCTGTTCAAGCCATACTGCCTAGCAATTCAGACATTTTGTGCCCACTCTCTACCTTGGCTATTATTTCTTGCTTGTTTTCAATGGTTCTTGCATAGCTCTTGACACTTCACTCTTTTTAGGCTCCATAATATTATCAGTTTCTTTTTTAAATAAAATGTTCAGAAAAGCACTTACAAAAATTCAGAGAACAGAAATCAACTAGCACACAAAAAATTATTTAAATGCAAGGCCCAGATGAAATTTGAAATTTGGTATTAAAATGTTAATGAATATCTGATGGGACAGTTAAACTCTCACCTTTCATAGATAAAAACTGACTCAAAACTTAATAAGTACCAGCCTGACAGTCTTGCAAAGACTATAAAAAATTATTTGTCAGAAAGGTAAACAAAAAGCTGGAATTACAAGGGAGTGTTTCTAAATTCAGAGGAATACTATCAGATTGGTATCATGTTGAATGTTGATGTCAACATCTTCAGAGCTCTGAAAGGTTTCAAATTGTCACCTGGAAACAAGGGAAGACCAATCGGTATTCACTGTTTTATGTTGCTTCTTTTTATGTTTGTTCTGTGAAGTGTTCGTTATTTGATTTGTTTGCTGTCTGTTAACCGATCACTTACTGTATATAAAATTCAAGTAATTTCTTAAATTCAAGAAATAAAGTAAAATAAAATAAAACAAATTAAAATAAATTTGAATTTGGTTATCAAAGTAGTAGTAATTAAAGAATTATTATTGTTAATAAAAACAAACAAATCATATTTAAAATATAAGATTTGTTTATTTTTGTTATCAGTTTTGTTAAAAATATATTTTAAATAATTTTAAGTGTTTTTTAAATGATTTACAATTCTTTTTTTTAACTACAAATCTATTTTCAGTGGTCTGCAATAATTTATTTATTTTCACTAATTGATAATGTGTTACTTGACATGTTTATTTTTATTTGTTGACGATGAGCATTGCTATGCTTAAAATACTTTATGAAATTATGCATATTGTATCAAAGTCATTGGGTTAAGAAATTTTTATTGAAAGTTAACTTCATTTATCAGAAAAAAATAAATAAATAAATAAAATTTTTGGACTAATTATTTGCATTAATTTATGTTAGTATGTTTAATATACATCTTTGTAATGATAACCATAGCAGTCGTAATTTAAAACAAAAATAGTTTTTATGAAATATATTTTGAAAACATTCAGAAATGATATTATTATTATAAATTTTTCTAAATTTCTTGATTTAGAATTTGAAATTATAAAAACTTTCAAAAAATTTAATTACATCAAATCATAAATCAAGAAATACAACCAAAATTACACAAATACAAAGTTTTAAGGGACTGATATATTATTTTCATAATGTTTAT